TTATTATTTTCTAAGTGGACATGTAATGAATTTGCTGCTAATTATTTTTTCAACTACGCGAATAGCAGATCGAGTGCGACGTGTGTGCTCTAGACCGTCTAATCCGTCTTTTTAAATTTACTTTCATCATCAGTAAATTTACTTAAATTTACTTTCAACAGCTAAACCATTAGTGGCTGTTAAGTAAATACAAAAACAAAGTATATTGTACATGGTTTAGAGTTTAAAATATTTCCTTAAAATGGAAGTTACAGTTTTATATTTTATATTTCTATATTTTTTAATTTAATTTATTTTTAAGTTGCTTCAACATCTAGGTCAATAGCAACTAAATAAATACAATATTTTACATTAACAATTTTAATTTTTTACAATATTTAGGCCACATTACAATGATGATTATGGATACAAAACCTAAAATATAAACTTTAAATTATCTCAATGATAATTATTACAGTACGTACTAAGATAATACATTATTCTAATAAAGTTAAATACTGTCCAAAACACATATTTCGATACAAGATTTTATTACCTTGCTTTGGTATCTATAATCACTTAGAATAGAATTAAAACTTTGTCAAACAATTTTGGCCTGTTGGAATTATATTAGGAATATTCCTGGAGGATGTGATTAATGTTCAGCGGCCAATTGAAAAGAAAAATACTGGCTTAGGTTTTTCTTCAATATATGGCTATGGGGAATAATTGTTATCGCTTGATCTAATGCGTGAAAGGGTTACTTGTTTAATAAGTGGGAGGTTTGCGTGCGCATTGAGGGCACAAAAAATCACAAATTTTCTTCTGAGTTGTGCTTACTTTGAGATTATTCCTTTGGTTTGACCACATTTTCTTCTTGACTTTGTCCGTGAACTTCAGGTAAGCCTCAATTCGGTAAGACATTTTGTTGTTTACTTTCTCTTCAAAGTCTGTAAGAAACATAGGGACAGTTGATTTGCTAATCGGGGTTCTTGCTTGTATATTATTTGTAAAATAGATCACCACAGGTTGAATAAACATCTCAGTTGTCTCTGCAGATTTCAAGTAAGTTGGTAGAGATTTATTGTAGGTGATTACTGGGAGAAATTTAAATGCTTATTCGGTACATATGGGAAAGGGATCTATAGTAAGTTTAGGTGTGACCCAGGGGGATATTTTGGTTTCTATATCTACCCATTGATACGAGTGGATGGTTATCACCCCCTGATGATGTCATTGGTGCTTTCTTAAAAAGGTATTGTATATGATTGAATGTGAAGCAGAGCAGATTTGATTGGTGGGTTAATATCGTAAAGTATAATATTATAGTTGTATAAAGAATCTTTTCTTAGATATTTCATGGAAAGGTAATCCCTTCGAAATTGCAGATTTAGTTCCGAGACTTCGAAAAGTATGCTTCCTGTGGGAGTTGTGTAGAAACATCCAATACATATCCTAAGCGTTCTATTATGCTGAGGATCCAACTTTTTTAGTAGGTTGTTTTTGGTTTTGTTACATATTGTACACCCATAGTTGTTTTTTATACGGATGATAGCTTTGTAATTGAGCAGAAAAGTATGTTTGTCTGCGCCCCAGTTGTTAAATTTCATGCATTTTAATAAATTTGTTCTTATTATGACATCAGTCATAACATCTTTAATGTATCTTTTCCTAGTATACTTTCAGTTAAAAATAAGAGCAAGGTTTCTACTCGAGAAGTCGCTTGGCATTGCTACCTCTCCCATTTATAATTGAAGATGTCCATCTATATTTTGTCTACATAGTAAGATGTATTTGGCATTGGTTGGAGATATTATGATTCTTGAGGTTAACGTCCAGCTATGTATTGAGTTCAAAGTATCTTGTATAATCCTCTTCGCAGAGGAGACATTCTTTCCTTTACTAAGAACTATCATATTGTCTGCATATTTGCGGCTGATGGTACGTGATTTGATTTTCTGACCAGCATCCTTAATTTCAATCATAAATAGTTACATTTAGTGTAACTATTTATCCCATCCTTGTGGAAGTCCATTTTCAAGCTTGATTATTTCAGATAACTGGTTATTAGCACGTACTTGTGTACATTGATCGCTAGTAAAATTCATGATAAAACTAAGAATGTTACCATTAATGCCGATCTCTTTAAGTAGCCGTATTACTCAAGGTATCCAGACCACATCGAACACCTTTTGGATATCTAGGTTGACGACAATGATACATCACTTGTGGATGGTCTCAGTGATGAAACTGTCCACGGTAACAAGATGTAATTAGAATGCGCAGGTCTAAAGACAAATTGACTATCGTCAATGATGTCAATGACGTAAAATACATCTTCAACGTTAATCAATAATCTTTTCAACTATATTACGTAGGTTACAGATTAGGGTAATCGGGCGATAGTTAATCGGTTTGGATCTTGCTTTGTCTGGTTCAGGGATGCGAGTAAGAGTTGCTATTTTATATTCGTTGGGGAAAATTTTATATTTAAAACATGAAAATAATATTTAGGAGGACTTCTTGGTCTTCTACAGGAATATTGTGTATGAAGATACATGTTTTTGATGTTGGAGATCCCATCCGGTCCAGGTTTCAAGTTGTTTGTTGTATTAATAATTTCGTTTACTTCCTGCATTATGAGAGGAACATTGAGTAGGTCAGAACGTTTCCGTGAGCGTCAGTTGTTATAGAAGTCTTCGATTACTTTTTTAACCTTCAGGAACTCTTTATCATAATTCATTGGGCTAGAATTGAATTGGAAGGCTATGGAGGGTTTTTATTTTCTTCCATAATTTAGACATGTTTATGTTGATTGATGATATATAAGTAGCCCATGATTTCTTTTTGTATCTTTGATAATCCTTTTTGCATGAGACCTAGTTTTCTTGAAACCTGTCATGCTCTCGATAGTTTTTCTTTTAAATTTCTTGAAGGCACGTTTAGGTGCTTTAATAGCTTCCTGGCATTCGTTGTTCCACCAAGGAACTTTCTTCTTATTAAATTTGACTTGGTAAGAGTGAATAGCTTTGTGTGCAGCTCCTATAATAATGTTAGTAAAATCTTGCCCTAAGTTATTGATATCAGATCCATCTTCATTCAGGCAAAAACTAGTTGAGGCAGAGCCAATGATGTCTTGATACATGGTCCAGTCAGCTTCGTTATAGTTCAGTTTGCTAATGGGGGGGTAGGTGTGTCATTGCAGCCGGGTAAGGCAATATCAATAATGATTGGATAATGGTCGCTGTCGTGCGGATACTCGTATTCAGGGATATTCCATGAACATTTTGGAGCAAGAGGGGCCGATACAATAGTTATATCAAGGGCACTGACTTTGCCATTACATGGATTGATGTGGGTCGGCTCTCCCGGGTTGATAATTATCAAATCTCAATTTTCTACCAATGCTTCTATTAATATACCTCTTCTATCAGTCGTAAATGAGACTCATACTGAATGATGAATTTTTAAAGACCACCAGAATCAATAGTGGTTTTGGTAAATGTTTTAGGATATCGCTGATCTCCGAGTATTCAAGCTTATGGCTGTTAGGGATATATAAGTTACATATCTTAATACATACAGGTGCTACCACCTTCACAGCAACTGCTTCCAAGTCAGATTTTATAATACGGTTACATTCCATAATTGAAAATTCGAAATATATTGCAAGTCTGCCAGAGACATGATCAGTGTTTGTGTTTGTTCTATTTTTATAACAGCTCTGAAACTTACTAATATTGGTTGAATAATTAATTTTAAAATTGGTTTCTTGCAGATATATTATGTCCGGATTAATATTTTTGCACAATAATTGTAGATTTCTAGGCTGCAGTAATATCCATTGAGGTCCCATTGAACAATTTTCATAATTGTGCGGTTAAGTTGGTGTTGTTTACGGTGGTCATGGTTTTGGCTAGTGCCATTCAAAGCCAGTGGTACACGAAGCCATAGTTTTGAGAGATGTCTCCAGAAGAAATAAGCACTTAGCAATGCACACGCGAGCAGAGCGGACGATGCCGGTACCGCGTGTAGCTGTCAGCTCTCATGTATATATGTACTTAAAAATTAGTCATATTCAGAAAGTAGTAATTTAATTCAATTTATCAATACACTCTTATGTTCTTTATTGATATTTATTAGATTAGAAAATTTTATATTTTTCTTGGGAGGTACATGGGTGTAGTAAGAAGTCTATATTTGTTTTGTTAAAACTGTCAGGATTAGTTGTGGACATTCCAAACATGGTTGTAAGCTGCATGTGCCAGTAATTGCATGGCCCGAAGCACTTGGTTGTAAGTTGCATGTGCCAGTAATTGTTGGGAGGGTTTTATTTATAAGGTGAAAGTGATTTATTCTCGTAAGTTCTGTTCTGATTGAGGTAGTATATTTTGTTATTTGGTTCTTATTTCTTTTAAGACCTGCAGTTTCTAAAATATGACAATATAATGGAGGTTGCTAACTTTGAAGATTTACATTCCTGGCTTCACTTTATTTTCAATACTCCGTGCATGAGTTTCCAGATTTTTAGAAAGATATATTTATATTGACAAATATGTTGTAGTTCAGGTTAGAACTTGTGCTTGTCAAAGTACCTCAGAACTAACATGTGTTATATTTAATTTATCAAGTCTTACGTTTATTTCAAGAGAAATTTAACGCCATTTGGACTCTGCTTTCTATGTGTCTCTTGTATTGCTTCATGGAAGTTTGCGCTCTGCTATTATTTAAAATCAAACGTTTCGGTACTGGAAAATATCCAAGAGTACCTCTTGTATGAACGGTTTTATTGTCATCAATTTATAGGTTACTTTTTATCGTTATTTGTATCAATTAGTGTCAATTAAAAGATACAAACATTTTACGTCTGTTGATTTTTTTCTCTTGCTTTTCCCGCTTGTGTGCAACAGTATACGATGCGATTCCATTTCATACATTTTAATATTTTCATAGTGATGCCTTTTATTAAAGTTCAAATCTTAAACGTTTCTTACGTTGCAATTTGTTTTCCTATGTTTTAGCTGGGTGCAAGACGAAAGCAACTGGCTTCGCAACGACCAGAACGAGTCAGTGATATGCGGGAACACGACGGGCGCACGGTAAGTACTTAGGAGTCGCGCAACCAACATCATTTTAATGCGTTTTTGTCATTTTCTTCCTGCCATTATTGATATTTTCGAATTATCTACTGCATTCGAGACAAACTTTTACACCAATCTTCGTGATCAGTAATCATTTAGTACTTGGGGCTGTATATGAAAAATCATCAATTTTGTAATTCATTTCCGCCAATATGTATAATGAAATTCACGAAACATATTAGTTTCAATGAATAATATTTTCCAATATACGTAGAAGTCGCAATTATATTCAAACTTCTTTTAATAATATTTTAGTTGCTTCAAATATTTTTGAAAATAAATATTTACAACTATTACGAAGTACACAGTTGTCAGATTCTTCTTTGCTTTTCTTCCGTATATTTTTGTGATATTTGTAAAAAATCCTCTGAGGTTATATTTCAGTTATTGTATTGCCATGTGACAATTTTTTAACTTTTTTATCTATCAAGATGTGCTTACAAATGAATTCCACATAAAATAAGAATGGAGCGTTATTTAATATAAGTAAATTATAACTTCAACGAAAAATAGCATCTATGCATAGTATCAGTGGCAAATTATTGTTTATAGTATTAACTTTATAACCTTGTTCATTATATTATAAAAACACAAGAAATGTAAAAATACAAAACCCTCTATTTTATTAATTTCCAATTCCCACAAAATTAAAAGAAAGGAACCAGTGCAGACTCCGAACCTGTGGGACGAGTCTGAAGTTTCGGTTGATATCTAGGGTGTCGGAAAAATTCCAAAAACAATGAAAGAGTTTTGGTTTTTATTGATAATTCTAAATATTTCATCGTGCTATTCCGCCTATTCTCATCCTGCGCGAACGGACAGAATTCACATACTCCGAGCGTCGCTGTTGAGGACACAGTTGACGTACTGTGACATCAATGTTTCAATGAAGACACTTCCCGTAATTAAATATTTTCTATTCACGTGTTGCTATATGGAACAGCATCTCTTTCGATCTTGATACGTGCAGTACTGTTGTACTATGTATCCGTTTATATTATACTACGTTATTGCATTATTTGTGAAGACTGAGTTAAAACATTTTATTAATTGTAATGTTATACGAGAGTATGTTATAACGTTATATTCACCATTAGTTATGATCCATTGTGTGTTAATTTGTTCTGCATCATTTTTTCTGCTGCAGATAAGTACTTGTAGCTAATTTTTAAGTAATTGTCTTGTGACTCTGTTACTTCGAGAAATATTTGCTAGTGCATACATTTTAGACACTAACTTTAGTAGAAAATGTGAAACCATAACCTTGGAACACCATAAACGCTACTTAAAATCACTCAGATTATTCAAAAGAAACATATCCTCGAATAAACATTTTATTCTGATAATTTGGAGGCAAAAAAACGAATAGTTTTGTAGTTGTAATGAGAGTTGTTATCCAGTTCACTATGAGCAAGAATGTTAGTGCAAATTTAATTAGGCAGAATAAATTTAGATAAAATTGATATGTAAACATATTCTGCCTACATTACATAGAATCCTAGATTAACGTTTGAAAATAAAATTATATTTTAGTTCTTGCAGTATGGCAGGTCGTCGTTCGATTCCCCTTGGGAACAAAAATGAATTTGTAAATTTCTCATGCAAATCGAGTCAGTTTTTATTGTTGTGTGACGAAAGGAAATCTGAGGCAGGCCAAGTAAGCTGGGCTTAATGATGGGAGTACGTCATGCTCGCCTCGTCTTCTTTACCATCAGGCGAAACCTCGCTAAGTAGATGCGCGGATATACGGGGCGATGACGATAGCGCCGATGGCTTGTTATCCGCCCACCGGCGGGAAGCGGTGGAAGCAATCCGTTTGACGCCCTCCGCAAGCGCCCGCAAGACGCTTCGGCCTCCCTCGCTCGGCCTCTCCCCACTCGCGCTCCCCGGCTCCCCGATCTCCCGTGGTCGCGTTAAAAGTTATATTTCAGAAGTGGTGCGAACGTCGCGCCTTCAGTTAATTTCGGAGCGAGCGAGCAGGCGGGGCGTGATCGGGGTGCCTGCCAAACGGCAGCAGTCCGCTTTGCCCCCGCCAATTCCGCCACCTTCGCCACCCCACCAGCCACCCCAGTCACAAACTCCCGATATCCCAGCCTCCCTCGCCATCCGGGAATCTCTTCCAGTGTTGCCACCCGCCACCTCTGCCACTCCGGCTGCCATCGATTCCCCCGCCCACTTCTGTCACCCACGAATTCTCCGACCCCCTTCACCTCCTCAAGTTCAGCACTGGTGTCGCCATCACCACCGCCTCCCTCGTCACCATCACCACCCCGTTTCTCCGTCGCCGCTTCGCGCCTCCGACCCCCTCTCCCACTTCCGCTCGGAGAGATCGTCGGGGCTGCCAAGTGTTTCCGTATTTTACGCGGCGGGCTTTATGTTTTATGCGGCGTATTCATCCTGTCGTCGGCGAACAACTCATTTTCAGGCTGTGGGCGTGTTCGCCAGCGGGCGGGACGCCTCGCTCCTGTTAGGAGTAGCTTAATTTTCGCGAGAGCCCGTTAGCGACCGTTTAATATGCGGCCCGTTGCGGGCAGCATCCAGGTGGTCGCCAGCCACCGACGCGACCGGACGCCCGGACAAGCGGGGCCCGCCGCCCTGACCCGCTTCCCCTCCCGGCGCCGGCAGCCGCGATCGAATGCGCGGCCCTGCACCTGGCCCCCGCGCGGCGCGCGGCCGCACTGAAAACAGCGGCCGCTCCCGGAGGACGCGCGTTAAACGCTGCGGTCGGTTACGCCGAGATGGATGACCAGCGGGGAATTTTTGCGCGAGTTGCCCGTGGGAAACCAACTTTTACCTGACCCGGTTTGTACAAATGGCGTCAGGTAGCAACACGAGAACTTAAGTGGCAAGTATTGTTCAAAAGGATTTCATATTATTGTCTATACCTGCCTCTTTTTCTAATACAAATATTGAAGAAACCAATTCACAAAACTTATTGTCGAAATTAAATATAGTGACTCCTTTTTTTAATATTTATTTTTCTGCCTGTTCGGCATAATATGCCTTTCAGGGGTTTTAATTTACAATTTCTAGCGACTCCTCAATATCAAGAGGTCGAAGGAGATTGGGATACTATCAACCTATCGGTAGCTTCAATAACAACAATTTAAGTCGTAACTAATGGATGACCGTGTCCTCCTCTCCTTCCAGCTTCTGACCGTGAGGGAACACTATTTTTAAATAGGACAAGAGTAAAAGTATATTCTGTAGCTATTGTTTTTTGCCGAACTATCACATAAGGCAAATGCAATTCAATCACATATCGTATAAGGAAAATTCAATTCAATCACATTCCATTCACGCGACAAAAAGCTCACTGAAACTTAGGAGATCATCGGGAGCGGGTCAAACGGGAATGCGCTATCTGTGGCCTTGTGGATAAATATTCACTGGGAAGGAAAAATTTCTCTCGGACCATATCTTCTTGTTTAAGTATTACCTCGGCTTACCCAAAAATCGATTGGAGGCAGTAAAAGAAACACAGTAAGATACTATTCGCTGAATATATAAAGATTGACTAGCAAATTCGCAATTACATACATTTAGTGTCTCATCCGGCATTATGTCACACGGTGAAATACATTTCTACAATACATTGTGAAAGTTGTTATTTGTTACAATTCTGGCTTTCAACGTCTTGCTCGTTTTTGTTCGTGTCACGATGTCAACGGAACCATTTGTCAATAATAATTTGCAGGCTTTGAGTAGATCTCAAAGTCCCAATATTTCCTCCTTCTTTCCAGGCTCGTAGTAAATCTTTCTGCGTTGTCGCTCTGGGTAGCTTCCTGATCAGGCTTGTTGGGATATCGCCTTAAAGCCCTAAGGCCTGGTATGGCGTGGGAGTTGCGTCCTTTCAATGGCAGCGTCCTTCCACGCAACGTGGAGACCGCAGGGCGCGTCGATCCTCCACGCTCTCTATCTCTCTCTAACGGCTCTCTTTCTGGAAATCTTTCTCCCTTGCGGCGAGGGGAAAAAGCCGAGCTTTATTAAATCTGCCGAGGAAAACGCTTCGAGGCGGAATGACGCCGTTTCTATTTGCGCTGGGAGGGGGCTCGCGGGAGATTCCGTGTTCGCAATCCGTTATAACACCACAAATTTCACAGTCGCCTCTTTCCCTTCGGGCCCAGGCCTTCTTCTCCCTGCCCGGTCCAAGGCCCGGCCCCGGGCCCGGGCCCAGCTCCAGCCCAGCCCAGTCCTGCCCGCGTGGAAAAATGGACCCTTCAGGTTGTTCGTCTTTGCAGTCGTAAACGTCAAGGGCCCGCGGTGCTCGGCGCCGCGATGCGGTGCGACGCGCCTGCAGGAGGCCTCCCCCTCTCTCTTCCTCCAACCGGTGACCCCCCCCCGTTTCCACGAGCACCTTGTCCTCACGTCTCAAGACGTCGGTGTTGTGCTTGGAACAGGTGCTGCTTGGAAGTCATAAAACATCTCTTAATGCTTGATGAACATCCAGTGCCGTTTGTAATTTTCGTCCATCTCACTTCTGTTCTCATTGGCAGGATTTATGTTCCATCAATGATTTCTTAATTATTTTCAACTCCATTAAAAGTACTAAATTCCACACTACTACTTTTCAACATCAGTCATATATTTATTTGAAACGTTCCTGAAGCCTTCATCCACCATTATAAATTATATCTTCAGTACAAAAACTTATTTTATGCTTTATCATTTATTTGTACGTCGGATCAGTATGTGCGTCATCTATTTGTGGTCAGAGATTTATTTTTACATCAGATTTATATGTTTCTGTCCTTTCTCCTAAATGTCTGCTACGTTCTTTGGACGTGATTTTATGGGTTAAGTAAATCAGATAACTCCACATTCGCTATATCATTTTGTAAACGTTTAATGGCCACCATAAAATTCAAACACTCCCAAAAATTATTTCTTCTTTCCTATCATTCAAATTAGTTCATTGTTTTTATTAGGCCATGGTTTTGATTAATTACGAGACAGAA